CCCCCGGGGGCCGAAAATGTAGAAAAACCTCCCGTCGTGATTTTTTCACGACCCGAGGGGGTCTGGGGCCCGAAGCCCCTGTCTCGGCGTCTCGGCCGTGCTCCTCCCGAGAAGTCTCTGCGCAGCGCGCGTGCCTGACGTGGGGGGCCGCTCTCGGGCGGGCGGCCTCGGCCTGGGTGACGGGTGGAGCAAGAGGGGCGCCAGTTGGGCCCTTCCGGGCCCCCGCCGCCTCAAAAATGGGCCCTGTAAGAGTGCGATGCCTCGTCAGGGCTGCCCCTTGCGCCCCACGATCTCCCAGCCGCGCAGCCTAGGGTATTTTTGGCACGGCGCCGCTGCGCAGTTTTCTCAGCGTCGTGGGCGTCCGAGGGCGTGGCGTCCTCACCTGGCGCCTTTTCATACAACGCGGCGTTCGCGAGACAGCTGGTACGGGGTAACATCCTAAGCCAAGGTCAATGCAGGACCCCTTTCTTCACCCACCATGTAGGTCACCCCCCATTACCACTCGCCCGACGCTATTGTGCGTCGCGCCGCGACGTCTTTCTGGCCTCTGGGGGGAGAGCCCATGGGAACACTCTGAATCTGGGCCGTCGGCGCCTCCACCGCCACCGCCCCCTCCCCCCCCCCCTCCACAGCGCGGCGGAGCGAACGCGCGACAGCAGAACTGGATCCACAACGCAACCACTGAAAGATCAACCCAATTCCAGCAATCCTTTGTGAACTCGAGGCGGAGGCCGACGACTTTGATGACAATCTCGGCAGCGAAAAATGCCCCGAAAACCCAATCACAGATTTCAAACACCGCTTCGCCATGTGGCCACACACTGGATGATACACCATCTGCACTACTATGACCAGTCCATACGGCAAGATCGAAACCATGGTACTGCGACTCGGCAGCCATAACGCAACCGTTGATGAGGATCATGCCAGCGACGAACATTTCGAAGGCAGGGTGCTGCACGACCCTAAACAAAACACCTTTTCTTGCCAGAAACCGTTCCCACGATGCTTGCCGCCGCAAGGTGCTGCTGAACCCACGGGAGACTGCTGCTTGCCTACTGCCTGGAGTGCTTATTTCTGTAATGCGCCTGCCAACGCCTGTGTCATTGCTAAACTCACTAAAACCCTTGCTGCTGCCCGAGATCTCGCGCCTCGGCTGACCCTTCACATCGGGTAACGCCACCTCCTGACTGATCTGGTCATCATCGGTTTTCGTCCGACTAAAAGGTGGCACAGCAGGCTGTTCTCCGCCGTACAAAATATCCGCGTCACCGTGGTCCCCCATCACTGCCGCCAACCTCTCCCGCAACCTCTGCACTTCCGCCTCGAGGCACCTAACGTTCAGGTTGTGTGCTTGCCTCGCCCGCCTGATCAAAGACTCGAAGTCGTTGCCTTCATCGGCGTCTGCCAACTCTTCATCTCCGCGCGGGGTGCGCATGTGTATGATCAGCGCGCACCCCCGGCCCACGCAATTCCGAAGCAAGGGACGCGGGAGATGGGCGCGGGAGAGACTCCTTCGGGCTCGAACCGTGGAACACGAACGACTTCGGCAAAAATCGGCGCCTGTATTATAGTCACCGTGTTGATTTGATCGGGGTGGTGATGCTGATCACATTGATGGCCAGCAGCGTAATCGTTGCGAGACGTGGGGAATGCCATCGAAGTGTTCGTGTTCATGTCGTATACGAGTCTCTGGGGGGACGAACAACTCGCCATCGCTTGGACGTCCATTCCCTGTTTTTTTTTGTCGGTTTCGTGCGCGGTTTTGCCAAATGGTCAAGGATGCTCCTCGATGGCCCTCGCCGAAGAAAAAAAACGAACACGTCCTAGCGATGCCAAGACAATGACATAAGCATAACAAGTCGGAGGTGCGCACGCTATCTTCCTCAGCCTTGCTGCAGGCCCGTGCACGCCGGGGGGTGCTCCGGCGCCTGCTTGGCTGGATGGTACGGTCGGGCTTTCCGACGACTGTGTTCTCCGGACGGGGCTGAACAGCTAGATTCCCCACGTTCAGGGTGGGACGCTCTGGGGGAAAGCAGTTGTGTTAGGCTTCGGGTGGTAGGGTCAGGGTTACCAGATAGGGTGTAAGAGTTGGGGCGTTGGGTTTAGGGTCTCAGAATTTGGGTGATCAGGTCAGGGCGGTAATGTTAGGGGGTATGGTTCAGGAGCCAGGGGGTCAGCGTGGCCAGAGGAGGGGGAGGGGGGGGGAATTTTCGGTCAAGGGGGGGAGGGGGAGTGGGGATGGTCAAAGCAACCCCCTCCCGCTGGAAAGAGTGGGAGGCATGGGGGGTCCGGAACGACGGATCGGGAAAAGGGGGACGACGCACTTGGGAGGGGGGGGGAGGGGGGGGTCCCGGACGTCCCCACCCTGTGGGGGAACCAGCGGCACGCCCTCCATAGTTAGGCTTCACGTGCGTTCGCAGCCAGAGAGGCCCCGCCTGTAGGCGTTGAGAGCTTCCGAGGGCCCCCGAAGGCCGCCGGAGGCCTCCGAACTCCGTCGCCGGGGCCGCCCGAGGGCCGCCCGAGGGCGGCGGAGGGCCGCCGGGGAGGCCACCGAGGGCTCCCCGAGGTCTCCTTGGTCCCCGCACCTCGCGATCCGCGCACCCCGACGCGCGACCCGCGACTCTCTTCGCGCCCGCGCTCCTCCCCCCCCTCCCCCTCCTCCTCCTCCTCCTCCTCCTCCTCCTCCTCCTCCTCCTCCT